GAAGGCTGAAGTTTTGGGCCTAGACCCTTCTTCAGAGCCTCATTACTTCTGAAGAAGTGTCGCGGCCCGAAACGTCAGCCTGCCTGCTCCTCTGATGCTGCTTAGCCTGCTGTGTTCATCCAGCTCTACACCTTGTTATCTCAGATTCTCCAGCATCTGCAGTTCCTACTATCTCTGAAACAGTATTATCGTTAGACTTATTAATTCAGAAATGATCTGCGGATCCCAGTTCAAATCCTGCCTTGCAGATGATAAATTTGAATTCAGTAAAGTATCTGGAGTCTAATTATAACCACAAAGCCATTGTTGATTGTTGGAAAAACTGAACTGGTTCACCAATGTCCTTTAGGGAAGGAAATTTGCCATCTTACCTGGTCAGGCCGACGAGTAACTCTAGACCCACAGCAGTGTGGTTGACTCTGAATCACCCTCTGGGCAATTAGGGATGGGCAATAAATGCTGGCATCACCAGAGATGCTCACTTGCTGTCAGTGAACAAAAAAAGTTTAATTTACCTTTCTTCAATTTGAACAGCATTATTCCATTCAAAGCTATTTCCAACTTGACTTTACAGTTGAGAAAAGCTTTTTGAGACATATAAAAAGCTATATCTCTGACCTTTGTTTACGACATACACAGAAATAAGCTCAAATGTTAGTGAAGTGAGGGAATATGTAGAAATGTGGACTTGTTTTCAATTAGTATTTTAACTAGCTGAATTTTATAGTTCATTGCAGCGTATTCTAGATTTGACGAGTTAAACTTTGTTATATATTATATATTTATTTCTGGAAGGAAGGCAAAATAGTATTCCCTATGTCTAAATACCTTAGTTTTTTAACTGCTTCACAGTACCTTGGCCAATCTTTGGTAGAATTTGTTACATTTCTATAATTTTTAAATTTAACAGGGCATATGAGTAACCAGTTAACATCAAAAGTTCTAGTCTTGTGTTCATCTTTTATAATCTTGAATTATTACAGAAAATTCAACTTCCACCACAGTGCCCAAGGCAGTTTGATAAATAACTTAAAACATTCTCACAATCCCTATCTCAATTCTTTAACATCCAGTATAGTCACAATCCCTATCTCAATTCTTTAACATCCAGTACAGTCACAAGACAGGTATTTATTCTGACCTTGAAATGTCAATTTTTAATTTTGTTTTCCCCCAGGGAGGGGAAAAACACTTGAAAGGTGAACCAGTATTTCTGTTTAAGATGTTAGTACAGGTAAATGCATTTGCACTGATTTCTGTTTTCATTGCAAGGGGGAAAGAAACTCATTTTTTTCCTTGCATTTTCACCTTATTCAGCTGTTCCACACTACAAACATTCTGTACTTGAGTATCAAGTGCAGCCTTTTGCCTTCCAGTGCGTCATTTTACATGAGTATATCAGCAACTATTTTCACTTTCACAGCCACAATTGATTGTGTTCATCTGATATCCGTATATGCGCTTTCCAGCAGGAATCGATACACTATTGAATGGTTCTTTCAAAGAACTTGTCTAGGCATGATAGGGTGAGTGATCTTTTTATGTGATATCAGTCTGTGTTTTAAATGAATGTTTTTCTGTGTCCCTTTAACCCAAGGATATTGAGGTCCAGTTGTTGCATTTACTAAAATCTGGGAGCTGAGCACAAACATGTTTAATTGAGTTAACAATTGACAACAAGATCCAACATTACTTGCAATTCATCAATAAAAGACATTTGGTTTATTGTTGTATTCACACTACTACCATTGACTTTGCAGCACATTAACTAATAGATCAGAGCTTAATAGTTCTCTTAAAATTCAGTCCCATGGACTTCATTTATTCTTGCTTATGTTGTATTTTTCCTTTTTTCTGAGAGAAGTTTTGTATTTCTTCCCTGCACTACTTTTTTTCAGGTCGTTACCATGTTCTCTATCCAGGGATTCCAATGGAAAAATGCCTGTTTGGTACCCAGCTAACCATGTCTGAGGTTGGAAATGAAAGTGCAAGTCTGGGGATCACATGGGAGCACTTTCAGCATTGGGTTCCCCTAGACATGTGTTATATTTAATATTTCTGGCTGCTCCTGTAGTTACTGGGATTTAAGAGAAAGTTTTGCTCCAGATGGATGGAAAGACTTGACAACATGACATTTTATTGAAAAACATGTAAAAACTTTCGAAAGTCAATAGAAGCCTCCTATTTATATATTCACTTTACATTAGGAATGGCTAAATCATGATAATAAATTCTTCTTGGCAAAGTTCAATTGCAGAACCCCAACATCAATATAGACCAACTAATGCAGCAGACACCTGGAATTTAGCCAGAAATTGTCATTTATCATTTGTAAATGCATCCACAAATAAGTCATCCACACCTCATGAAAAATAAATTTGAGATCCTAACTTAAAAAAATTCTAACATGACACCTCATTCCATCAGAATGGATCAGAAATTAATTCATTAGCAAGGCACAATAAATAGTAAAGTAAAAATTATCCAGTCCTTTTGAAGAGACCAAAACTGAATGTCAAAAAACAAGGGAATAGCCATACTGATATTCTGGTGACTAGAATGGTACAAGACTCATGTTGTCAGTGTCAGCCTGTTGATTGAATTGATAGTGTAATTACAGATTGGAGGGGATTTTTTCTTGCTTGAATGTTTAACATTCAAAACTAGAAAATAATATTTTCTCATTCATCTCCACCCCAGATTATGACTATCAAAAGTAATAGTTATCACAGCTTCATGTAAAATTCAGTAAATTTCAATTGAAATAAGCCATCAAATATTCTTAAGTGGAGTTAGGTCCATTGCGTATTATTTTCATTGTCTATCTCACTTCAAGAGCAGAACACTGACATATCCAATAGAAAATGTAATGCAACAAGGGGAATCTCAACTTTTTGATTCTACAATAATTTCAGAGGTACTGCAGAATTGTTTTACACTCATTGCAACTTCTTACCTTTTTCTTGGATACACATTCTATTGTTTTGTCTGACATATATTTGTGAATTAAGTTCACTCTATAAGCAGCCCCATATTTAATAACTCCAGACTTTTCAAACTGATATTTAAGGCAATGAAGTGTCCTTGAAAATTCTGTCGTATGTGGAACAGCAGAATTGACACCTGTGAATAAGCAGGGCTGCATATTTAAAGGTTAATAAAGCAATAAAATTCTGCTTATTAAACCGTTATCTGTGCAGAATTCTCTTCAACCCATTCTGCCTGTATTTTTGTATCACTAGCATTTACAATAGAACTTTGCCTAACACAAATTCACAGTAGATATCCTGTCTAATATAGTGCATATAAATTTGTAGTCATACTTCACATTGGACTGTCATCTGAGTGCTCCAACTAGTGATTTTGATTCTGAAGGGGCTAC